TAAGTTTTTATTAATTTTTTTAACTAAAGCAAACCGAAGCTAAGTCGAAATCCTAACAGGTTCCATGATCCTTCCTTTACAATCTGTCTTGTGTTTTTTATTATTAATAAATATTTTACGTATGTGATTATATTTTATTAAAAAACAGATTTCATTTCATTGACAAGGACCAAAAGATTTTAGTGCAATTACTCACATAAATGCATGTCTGTCCCATTTCATAATCGTCTGCCACAAAGGCCAGGCCGATCAAGAATTTCATGGACATTTCCTGCATATTCGCGTGGGCCCCACTGAAGTGCAGATAAGACCGACCAAAATTTTTCTACAAAAAGATAAGATGCAAAGAAGCAACAAATCTCTCTGTTATTTGTGATTTTCATTCAAATCGAAATCGCATTCGCATTGTTGACGAACTGAATTTCACGGAAATCTGCATTTTCTGAAAATTTGCGTCTGTTTCGGTCTTCGGATTGACATAGTCGGCTAAGAATTAGGATTTTTAGGCCACTGGATGCGAATTTCTTTGACTTAGCAGCTGAGTCAGTGTGGCGACCTGTTGTCTGAGCTCTTCAAAGGCTATGGTAGTGACGACTGCGGGCTGGGGCTCTGGCACTTCTGATGATTCCTCTTGAGGAACAGGGATATCCTCAGGAGGGGGTTGGTTTGGAGCGGATGAGCTTGCGGGTGGAAGACCTGATCGTGTGTTTACCATGACTTTTGGTAGCGCTTCCCACAGACGGCGCCAATGATGCTACCAAAAATCGTACCTGTAGATTTTCCGAGCTTGATGACTGATGATGAGCACGAACGTGATCTTCCGATACCTGAAACAAAGGCAACGAGGTGTGTTCTCGTCGCCCCTCCGATGCTTAAGTCAGAAAGGGAAATATATGCGTGAGGCTATATGCTGAAGAACAATGAGAAAACGTACCTGAATAATGGTTCAAAGTTCTGTATTTATAGTAGTAAGTGACATTCTCCTAATTGGGCTCAACTAGCTGGATGTCCTCATCTGTTGGAGTCCTGCTGGTTAAGGAGTTGGTTGAATTCCAGAATTGTGCGTGAGATAGGACTCTTGTGGGAGTTAAGATTCCTAATTGCGTAGGAATTCTAAAGGATGAACAATCGTCAGCAGTAAGGAGGAGCATATTCCCGAGGACAGTGCCCGAGGACACATCTTTGCAATATGCGAAGCGTGATGGAGATGTGGTCGGGACTTGTGTCTCGAGGACGAACATGCTCGAGGACACCATGGATGGATTTACAACTTTACCAAAATTAGTCATCGGGATATACTGATCGGGGATATCGTAAAATGTCACCATCACCGACCAAAATTTTTCTACAAAAAGATAAGATGCAAAGAAGCAACAAATCTCTCTGTTATTTGTGATTTTCATTCAAATCGAAATCGCATTCGCATTGTTGACGAACTGTCGATCGGTTCGACCCCAAAATTTCACGGAAATCTGCATTTTCTGAAAAATTGCGTCTGTTTCGGTCTTCGGATTGACATAGTCGGCTAAGAATTAGGATTTTTAGGCCACTATATGGATGTTGTGTATGGGCCCCCAATTCGTGAACTTATTGGGCCTCTGGAGAAAGTGTGTTGAGGAAATTAGGCCCAATACCCTAAAAAATATACTAAATTGATTAATATCCTAATAACTAATTAAATCAATTGAGAACGTATTAAATACGTTATAAAACCCCCAATCCACCCATATAACTTTCATCAGATTTTGCTGCAAAGAATTAATAGCTACCACGCCTTAATCAAATTTTGCTTACTCTCGACCTCATTTCTCTCCATTAATGGCCAGAATAGTATGCTCAAATCTCATTTCTTCAATTTCATGACTATAACTGAAGCCTTCACTACGGTTCCAATGACCAAATCTTTCAAATTCTTCGAAGGTCTTTAGAGCGACAGATGATTTTCATGCTAATGTGGTTTTCAGTAGCAGTGAAGTGGGAGTGTTGTGGCGGTGGTGGTAGTGGTGGTCTGGGGGCTACTAAGGTTTTCAATAGGGGTGGTGTCGGGATGCAGTGGTGTTGATGCTACTTGTGTTGGTGGTAGCGGTGGTTGGGGACTGCTGTGGTTTTCAACAGTGGTGGTGGTGATGCTCCATGTGGTGGTTTTGGTGTTGCAGGTTTTAGGTGATTTTTGTTGTTTGTACAGTAGATGTGCTGGCATAAGTATAGCTGAAGAAGAAAAGACCCAATATTTTGAAGGTTTTGATGAGCATATAATTCATTTTCAGTAGAGAAAGAGGAGGGGTAAGGAACATTGAAGAACAGCTAACGTGTTTGGGTAGGGTAATAATGAATAAAATATAGTTATTGAATCTCAAAATGTTACCACAAAGATTCACAACTAAGTTTAATATGAATATTAACTTCAAATAAGGTTTAAAATTATTAATTCATTGAATCATAGATCATCTTAAACTCATTTTGAGAAGTACAGTCTATGTGAGATGGTGGTCGGTGAAAAATTATATGAAATGTCCAGCGAACAAAATGGATGGTGTTATTTTGGTGTTTGTAATTTTTTTTTAAGTTCATGTTATTTTTTTTTATTTTTTTTGAATTTTGTCACTATTTTTTTGAGTTTGTCAACTTTTTTTCCTTTTTTTTAATTTTATTTTTCACTTTTTTTTTTTTTTTTTTGAGTTTGTCAACTTTTTTTCCTTTTTTTAATTTTTTTTTTCCTTTTTTTTTTTTTTTTGAGTTTGTGTCACTTTTTTGAATTGTATTAAAAAAAAGGTGATATTCTGTCACTTTCAAAATTTATATAGTATTTTTTAATTTCAAAAGAATTTTCATATGATTTTTCAAAACATTCCTAATTTTAATAGTATTTTTATAAGTTGCACAAGCGTGTTTACAGCAAACAAAGTCCTATTGCGGCCGTTTCACTAGATTTTGAGAACTGAAAAATTGTTTTTGATCCTTTTTAAAAAAAAAATTAAAATTAAAAATGACTATAACTTATTCAAGAAACTCTTCTTCTATAAGAAAAAAATTTACGTTTCCTTCTTGGTATGTTACAAGTCTATTTCCTTGTAATTGGGCATGGCTTTGACTATGGAAGCGAGAACTGTTCAGCACCAACCCCCTCACTCCAAGTCCCCAAAGATACAGAGTAATGCATGTCAGTGGCAAAATAGCCCCGTAACTTCGGGAGAAGGGGTGTCTCCTCACAAAGGGGGTCGCAGTGACCAGGCCCGGGCGACTGTTTATCAAAAACACAGGTCTCTGCAAAGTCATAAGACCATGTATGGGGGCTGACGCCTACCCAGTGCTGGAAGGTCAAGGAAGTTGGTGACCTGATGACAGGGGAGCCGGCGACCGAAGCCCCGGTGAACGGCGACCGTAACTATAACGGTCCTAAGGTAGCGAAATTTCTTGTCGAGTAAGTTCCAACCCGTCTGTCCCATTTCATTATCATGTCCACCAAAGAGGCCAATCAAGAATTTCATAAGACATTTTCCTGCATATTCACGTGGGCCCCACTGAAGATTCAGATGAAACCAACCAAAAATTTTCATTCTAGAAAAAAGATAAGAAGCTAATAAGCAACAAATGTCTCTGTTACTTGTGATTTCCATTCAAATCGAAATTCTTATTATTTAATTTCCTGAAGAAGAGTAGACCAACCAATTCATAGAAATTATGGTGCAATGTAACTTACTTTCTTGGAAATTATGTTTAGTTTGGACACGTTTGTATTCACTTTATCGAACACAAAGACCAACCATGAATTTCTTTGAAATTATTGTGAAAATAAAAAAATTTATTACAATTAAAAAAATAAATAAATAAAGCCTATTGGCAAAATTAGTCACCATATCCCTTGAATCTTCCAGAAAAATTGAGATGTATGTGTGGGATTGTGGGCTAATTTCGTCAATTACTGCTGAAGTTCCTAGTAATTACATCAATGATTATCAAATTAATTAATTTTTTTAACGGTAATAGTCACTTAAGTTCATAATATTTACATTGATGTCATTCCTTTAATTATCAACGTTAAATTGTATGTGGCACCAAGTCCCAACAGTGTCACAAGATGATGTTATTTACTATGTCGAGTCAACACTAAAAACGTTCCAAAATGAAAATGTAAAATAGCTTTTATTTTAGTTAGATTTTTAGCTTAAATCGTCGTACGGTAAACCTTGGGTTTTTTTAACAATGATTTGTGCTTACTTGATGTTATAAATAACGTTGTACATTTAACGACGCCACGTTAAGATTTAATGTTAATATATATAAGCAAATGATGATCAGTGCAACATTAAGAAACTTAACTGAATATTACCGTAAAAATGAAAGTTCAATAATTATTAAGATGATTATTTAAAATTTAAGTGATCATCGATGTAATTAAAGCATGGAATCGTATAGAAGCCTTCTTTAATATAATATACACGAAAGTTGAAAACATTTTCTTCTTTTTCAATCACTCATTTAAAAAAAAAAAAAAACTATTCCACCTACTTTCATTTTTCCAAAATGAGGCCAAACGGGGGCTTATATACAATTCCATGCTTTAATTACATCGATGGTCACTAAAATTTTAAATAATCATCTTAATAATTATTGAACTTTCATTTTTATAGTAGTATTCAGTTAAGTTTCTTATTGCACTGATCATCATTTGCTAATATATATTAACTTTAAATCTCAACGTGGCGTCTTTAAATGTACAATGCCATTTATTACATCAAGTAAGCACAAATCGTTGTTAAAAAACCCAAGGTTTACCGTAAGATTTAAGCTAAAATTAGGCGTCAATTGACCGTTGAATAACAGTAGAGGATATTCAAAACGCGTGGAAACAATTGCTTAATTAAGAAGCTGGAGGATTAATCTTCAATAGAGAGTTGACACGCAAGTCACTAAAATTAAAAAATAAAAATAAAAAATCTTAAGTTCAAAACGTTGTTCACGCGTTAAAGCCTAACTATAAATAAACACTTTTGCTTCATAAAAATGCACTTTAAACAACTACACAAGTTTCTTCCCAACAAATGCTTGAGCATAGACCCTCTTTCTTTACAAATCTTTTGTTTGAATTTGGCTGAAGAAATAGCAGGTACTATATTTGAATCTTTCTTCTATTCATATTGTTCATTCTAGTCAAGTTCCTGATATTATACCAACAGTGTATTTAGTTCATGAATTAATGTCCCAGAAATTTTCAGGAGACAATATGTTGACCATCGGATCACAAATCCATGATTGCTATGAGCACTATGAGTTGAAAAAATATGCAAAGTTGTTCAGCTGCGACGGCTGCAAGATGAAAGGGTTCGGAGAAAGGTACGTGTGCAATCTCTGTGGTCAAGAACTGCACAAGGAGTGTAGGCACCCCACATCTGAAGTTTCCCACGAGA